AGAGCACTAACAGAGCCAGCGACCTTCTTTGTCGGATCCATGAAGACCTCGCCGGTCGTATGAATGCTATGCACCTTGACTTACGTCGCTTCATGGGAATTCTCGTGCCTGATATGGAACAGGCCCTCGCTCAGCAGGTTCACCGGGAATCTCTTCACTTTGATGTGCCTCCAGATATCGAGGATGGATTTCTGCGAGCGTGGGCGGCTGACAGACCGGATGACGCTTTTGAACCAAGTCTCCAGGAAATTGCAGATGCTTTCGTTATTCATTACCACAAGTCCACCGTCGGGTTTACTGCCGGTATCCTGGTGGAGAATAAGGTTCCCGAGTTAGGGCAATATATCAGCCTTTTGAAGTGTGTCTGGCTGATGAGACGGATTCGTCGTTCGAACGAACTCACTCAACAGGGCCGGACCTTATCCCATTGGCCCTCCTACATCCAGGAGCTGGAAGACGTAAGTCGAGCCTTCAATCTCATGCTACCTTGAATAGTACTGACCTGTGCTAGGGTCTTGCATCGCAATGCGATCGATTTAAGCAAGAGCTCATGGCACCAAGTCTAGCAGGTTTAATACCTGAGATGTTTGACATATGGCCTGAAAAAGAGCTTGCTCAGCTTGTGGACGTGGTGACGAGGGATGCTCTCATGGAAGAGGTCATGGATGCGTAAGTTCTGTCCTTAGACCAGGCCTTGACATAATGTGGGCGGTAACTAATATCAGTTTCGCGTCAGACCATTACAGGGCGCCACTTCCAACGTTGAGAGGAAGCTTCAGCTGCTTCGCCGAATGGGCGCTGATGGCAAACGCTTCAGGATAAACATTTCGGGCGTTGAATTAGGGGGATCGAGCAGGACTGCACGTCGTCAAGGTATGGATGCTCCAGCCAGATAGCATCGTCGAGTTGTTGACAATGAATAGCCGAGACCATCGATTTCGACATCACGACTGTCATACTAAATCCTCTTTATGCAGTGCCATCTAACTCTTTTGGCGCATGGGACATGATCTTGCGCAAGGATGAACGGATTGCCAAGCTGGCTTTCACGCAGTTGAAAGATGCTGCCAAGTTCCAACAAGCTGTGACTGGTTTCAAGGCGTTTGATAGTTATAGCCAGTAAGTATCATAGACCCACACACTGAAGGATGCCAACAGCTAACAACACCGATAGGTACAAGGCTATGGTTAGCTTTGTTGTGTCTGGAAGAGGAGATCCGATTGTCGAGGGAGCATGTGTACAGTTGTGGGTTCCAAAGCAACTCGATGGACAGCTCGTTACGAATAACGAGGCAACGCTCGAGCAGAGCACGTCACCATCCCAGTCAGGGGTGTTTTCTCCATCTAGCACATCAAGACAGAGTACCCTCCGCAGCGGATGGAACACCGCAAACCCATTCACCACCAGTCCTACCGAGACTGTGTCTATGTGGGGTAACAGCGGTCCACCGGCCGTAGGCGCATCACGGAGTCGTTCGATGCCATCACCGCCAACAATCGCCGGCCCATTTGGAGTTCGGGCTCCCATGATGATACCGAGACGGCCAGTAGGATCGGGTAGCACACAAACAACAACAGCATCGCCACCCAATGCTAATCGGCAGGCAACGTTATCGACATCACCTGCGAGCCCTCGGTCTTCATCCCTGCTTCCGGGTTCATGGCAGTCAAGGACACCATCCGTATCAACAGTCTACAGCCGACCTGACCGGACCTTCAGCGTTTCAAGCAACTACTCGGCGACGACATCACCATCGAACCATAGTTCTAGCGGAAGCGACGCGCACACCGTGACTGTAACGATAGGGGGGCACACGACTGGGACTGTCCACAGGCGCCCTCCCAAGCCAATGCTGGTGCTGTTCACGCAGAATATGCAGACAGGAAAGCGAGCATTGGTAACCATTGACATTGACGAAGACACCGATGTCAACCCAGACCGGTGCAACTGCCGCCGGTCAGGAAGAGACGGATCATCATGTCAGATTGCTGCCATTGAGCAGAACCGAGGCAACACCGAGCTATCAGTGCGAAGATACGAAAGCCGAGACGACGACATGGACTGGAATCTGGCCAAGTTGGCACTGGGGCGGCGAGGGGAGAAGGACTATGCTGCTGCTGTCTGGAAGGACGTCCGACGCATCAGCATCATGTTCCCGACTTCCCAAGATAGGGCAAAGTTTGGAGGCACACCGAACATATGCCAGTGCAGCGCGAAAACAGAAGCCGAACTGAGCAAGTGTCTCAAGGATAAACACAAGGGGCTGCTGGGGTTTGTCCGGGAATCTGGCCGGCAGCAGTTGAACGAATATCATCGGGTGCGATTCGAATCGCAGCAGGACGTGGTTCGTGGGATGAGAGACGACTATCGATGACAGCTGCTGGAAGAAATTTCGATCAAAGGATAATGCGGTTGAGCTGTGTATGTACGACTGGGTTGAAGCTGCCTAAGTTAAGTAGTTTTTATCGCGGCATCTTTAGATCGTGATCTAGTTCTTTTGGTGTTACGGCGTCGGCGGCGATAATGAAGCGAACGATGCGCCTGCGTGTTTCTAGTCGGACAATAAGATGAGGGAAATCTGGAAGAGGATATTCGCCAAGTCATAGAGAGATGATCAGGCGGAGGGCGTGCTCCAGCTTTCGTCAGCCGGGAGACCATCTCTACTTTTCGTCAACGACTAGTATTGGATAGCCCCACGCGCGTTTGCGAGAGTGGCCTTTCCATTCAGATGTCTGAAACATCTTGATAGCTCATTATCCCTTCAGCTTACTTGAATAAAACAAACCAAATTAGGTTTTTTTGTTATCAAAGGCGACATTTGAGTAAAGTCGGATAAGTCATGGATCAGGAGAGCCGGGAATTAGTGATGGTTCAGCTTTCCGAACCGGAGATAACCTCAGACTCACTGGTGAGCTTCCTAAGGTGTCTTCGGCGAGACCCTTTATGGGGGTTCTCCCTTGCTGTCGGAGCCCGCCGATGGCAGACCAAAGCTCTCTGGTGTCTTTGCTGTTTCTAGCAGAGAGCGACGCGTTTATTGCAATTCTTCATCCCGCCCAGCCGTGCCGAAGAGCTGCATCTCCGAGTCTCGGCAGCAGACTAAGCCAATGAGATAGGCGCTGTGTCGCGGGTGTCGACGCCTCTATCTCCCGGGATTCCCTCCTTGACTCGATTGGGGTGCTTTCTTATCTCTACGGAGACTCGGTGTGCGCTTCTCTGGGGTGCCTGGGTGGCCTGGTCAGCTCTTATCTTCACGCCAGTCCGGATCTAAGCAGTTGGTTTGCTTCTTTGGGGCTCTTTGGGGGGAGAGGGGCTCTGGATTGGTATCCGTTAGAAGGTGTGTCGCGTAAAAGAATGTCTGCCCACAACCTTTCGGTGGGCAGAGGTCAAGCCTGGGTAAGAGGCATCAGACGATGTATCTGAAGCTGAGGCAAAGCAGCATCGTGTGCTTCTTGACGTGTTGAAGAGTCAGAGTCAAAGGTGTTGAGTTGACACTATCCATAAACCAGGGGGGGAGACCATTATTCGCGCACGAACCATTCCCAACTTTACCCACGAACGACTGTCATCAAGGTACACCCAAGTTGCCAATTTCTCAATGGCATGATGCATTTCTCTACAGCACCAAACGATCGTGGTTGTTCCGCCACCGTTTGGAGTCAAGAAGGATGAGCCGTAGAAACGGCAACTCGATCTGGCCGGCGGCGAGCAGCGATCATGGCATTACGTCGGGGAAGTTCGCGGCAGGATGGAACCTACAGAGATCATCAGCCGCCGAGAAAAAATGGATAATTAATGAGACACTGACAAGACAACTCTGCTGAGAGCCCTGAGAGTCGGGACCCCCGCGGAGATCACACAAGGCGAGCCGCTGGCAGTTGACCCATCATCCCGCTCTTTGGCGCCGCATGTCGCACTTCGAACTTCGCAGCTCGCCGCATCTCTCTATTACTCTGTAGCTTGATCTTCCCGGGCCCATGTAGGACGTGCCCGAACGAGCACTCAGAGGATGAAGGCGGGATTCTCCTGGTGTGCCACGCGGGAGCGATGCCGGGGAGTTCCCCCACACTCAGGCCCCCCCCCCCCCCCCCCCCCCCCCCCCCCCCCCCCCCCGCCCTCGTCTCGCCCGCCGTGCGCCCCCGTCGCCATCCCCTGCCCCCCGCCGCCGTGGCTGCCGGCTCAGCTCCGGCGCATACCGCCCGCACCCGCGCTCCCCCCCCCCCCAGCCCCCCCCCCCCCCCCCCCCCCCCAAAGAAGATGTCGACGTTGGTTCTGATGGGTGCTCCGGATCCTCTGCAGTAGCGCCATTGCTGCTGTTGGGTCGCTGTATCAGGCATGACGGAACAAACATGTCACTTGCAAGATACCAAGTTGCGTTCTACCTAGTTGTGTCCTCTCTCTGCTTCTCAAGACTTGACATGCCAACTACATGATGACGAGCTGTGAGTTCAGTAGCAAAGTAATGTATCTTCAGACTCTCTTTCTCTCTCACCACCCCTTGTTACTGGCAACCCACGTCCTAAGACAGCCGGTGCTACTCTGGATTCCTGGACTCGACCGTCAATCTTCTGCGCGCTCTCAGCTACGCAGCTACACACCCGTGGCACCCTACTCCAGAACCGGGCCCGCTCCTCTGGGGATACACATTTTTTTTACTATCGCTAGCCATTCACATCGTTCCGAGCCGCTTATCCCACTGATAGCGGCTGAAGCTAATTGCTCGATACCATCAACTAAAAGGATCTCACCCATGCAAACAATGATCGAGTCAGATTGATATATAAAGAGAGATCCACAACCCTGCCTCTGGATGGTGATTCCGTGGATACCGTCGGGTCAAATTCTTTTGCCTTACCTTGTCTTGTCTTGTCTTGTCTTGTTTTGTCTGCATCATCGACGAGTCTGACTCCTCTTCGAATCGCAAAGTCGGCGTGGTCTTGGTCAATTACAGTCACCGCTAGCACCAAGTGCCGATTGCACGACTCAAAACGTCGGCGACATCATGGATGAAGATCAGGGCCCAAGCCAAATCGTCCCTGGGACAGCTCCCAAGCGGACAATGGGAGACCGCCTTCGCAGCACCAAGAACAGATTCTTCACCAAGGACGGCCTGATCGGCGACTACGACTATGCTTTCCTCTTCACCCCGAACTTGCCGTTTATGAGGAAGAGTCGCAAAGCCGCTCCCTTCTTTGGCTTGAACGACCGGATGCCTACGCTCTTGGCCCTGTTGCTAGGATTCCAGCACGCCCTTGCCATGTTGGCTGGCATCATCACGCCGCCTATCCTGCTGAGCGGCGCTGCAGGTGCTAATCTCACTGGGGAGATGCAACAATATCTTGTCTCCACAGCTTTGATTGTCTCCGGCTTGTTGTCCATGATCCAAATCACCAGATTCCACATTCTGAAGACTCCGTAAGAAGAAGAAATGCATCCCTACTGTGAGACATTCCAACTTACATCTCCATGTAGCTATTACATTGGAACTGGCTTGATCTCTGTAGTCGGTATCTCCTTTGCCATTATCCCGGTCGCTCAGGGAGCCCTCTCCCAAATGTATGCCAATGGATTCTGTCCGATGGATGGGGAGGGAAACAAGCTCCCGTGCCCTGACGGATACGGCGGTGAGTCTTACCCTTGAACCTTCAAGCAATACTTGTTCAACTGACAGAGTGAAGCCATCATCGGCTCTAGTGCCCTTTGCGCTCTGATTGAAATTGCCATCTCCTTTATGCCCCCAAAGGTGATGCTTCGCATCTTCCCGCCCATCGTGACTGGCCCGACAGGTAAGCCCCCGAAACGTGAAAACCCGTGAGAGACGGCGTCTGACGTGTGCTCAGTCATGCTCATCGGCATCCACTTGATCGAGACTGGTTTCCAGAACTGGATGGGCGGCTCCGGCCCTTGTGCCAACCCGACTTCCGACTTCTTCGCCCGGTGCCCCAACATTTCCGCGCCTCATGCCCTCCCTTGGGGCTCCGCCGAGTACTTGGGCTTGGGTTTCTCCGTCTTCGTGACCATCATTCTCTGCGAGCGATTTGGCGCGCCCATCATGAAGTCAACATCCGTTGTTATTGGTCTCCTTGTTGGTGAGGAGCAATCCTGCGTCTTTCGCCATGCCCATATGCTCTGTTGCTGACCTGCTCCTAGGATGCATCATCGCCGCTGCGACTGGCTACTTTGACCGCTCCGGAATCGACAGTGCCCCTGCCGCCTCTTTCATCTGGGTGCACACCTTTAAACTCACCCTTTACGGGCCGCTCATCTTGTAAGCCTCAAACCACGAGTCATAGGCGAGCATGTGAAAACCGAAGCTAAACATGTCAACAGGCCTTTGTTAGCCGTCTATATCATCTGCGCCACCGAGGCCATTGGTGACATTACTGCTACTTGTGATGTCTCTCGCCTTGAGGTTGAGGGCCGTCTTTTCGAGTCCCGTATCCAGGGAGGCGTCCTCGCTGATGGTATCAACGGCGTTCTTGCGGCCCTAATGACCATCACACCTATGACAACTGTAAGCTGATGGAGTCTGCCCAGCTCTGAACAACTTAGAAACTGACTGAAGAAAGTTTGCTCAAAACAACGGAGTCATCGCTCTCACCCGCTGTGCTAACCGCAGCGCCGGCTACTGCTGGTATATTTTCTAATTCCAGTTCTCAAGAACTTCCCGGCTAACACTGGTCTAGTTGCTTCTTCCTCATCATTATGGGCATCTTTGCCAAATTCGCCGCGTCGCTTGTCGCCATCCCCTCCTCCGTGCTTGGAGGTATGACCTCGTTCCTCTTCACGGCTGTCGCCGTCTCCGGTATGGCCATCATCACAAAGGGTGTGCCTTTCAACCGACGAAACCGCTTCATCCTGACCGCTGGTCTCACACTCGGCTATGGCGCTACTCTCGTTCCTACGTATTTTGACAACGTCTTTACGTATGCTGGTGACAACCGCGGCCTAAGGGGGTTCCTCGACGCCATCGTACTCATCATGGAGACGGGATTCGCTATCACAGCCTTCGTCTGCATGTTCCTCAACTTTGTGCTCGACGAGGAGATTGAGGACACAGAGGGCCATGATGTCATCCCCACCACTGGTATCGTTACTCCAAAGGACGTTAATGGTGGGGAGAGTGCGCGGGGAGCTGATTCAGAGGACATTCAGCCCGTTGGGCATAACACCACTGGCAAGCGTGATGAAAAGCTGTCTTGAAGTCGAAAGCTGTGTTGATTTCAATGGCGTGGATGGTTGTGCGATTTTGCATTAAAAGCTGAGGGTTTCGTGTGTTTGAATGTGTTTTTGATCATGTACGAAGTTTGAATACTCGCCCTCACTGTCTCGAATTCACTCTGAGCCACTGTTGTGCAAGCCACGTATCTTACCGCAACGAGACTTTCCTGTGCCCCTTGCTTGGAGCATCCGGTGGCATTATATCTGACTACTAACATCTGACAGTAAGTATGGGCGAGAAGATCGCGCTTTAAAGACTTCAGTGTCATAAAGCAGATCATCAAGGTAGATAAGTGATAACCGATTTGACGCCACAGAAAGCTACGCTTCGGATACCTGACGTCTCATGCGAATGCTGCATTGTCGCCTCAACAACGCCACGCTAGATGGTTTCGGTTGTCAATTGGTCTTCTTTTGCACAGGCGGAATAGTAACATCGAGGGTTGATAAGAAGGCCGACGGCAATTGGTCACACGAATCCCACTCTGGTGCGTCTACCCCCTGCGCTGTTGATCGAGTGCCTGGCATCCCTCCATGTCGCCTCGTTATCTGTCTTTCCCCAAAGACCAGGCCATCAGGCTTACTTGGTCGACTTGCTTGCCCAGGATAATCGTTTGAGAGCATGGCTGAACAGTCAACCCCGACCAAGTAATCATTGGCGACATGGCCTTGTTTTCTTTGGGCTGCAGGATGCGGAGCTGGCCGGAGCGAATCCCGCAAATGTAGGTCGTATAGAGGTCGAAAGGTCACATCCGTAGACGAGTTGCTTTGCATAAAGCTGGATGCTTTCGGACTATATAGGTGTGGCCATGTCTCACTCCTCCTCGGCGTGGCTTGGTCTGCTGCAATTGTGCACCCACAAGGTTGTTGGCACACATCAATTTTCTCGGAAGGCCGTTTTTGACCACGACTTCAATCTAGGAGTGCGAGGGCGACGGTATTTTTGGTCTGCGTGAGGACTCGGACAGCTTCAACGACAGGATGAAGGGCATAAATATGCAGGAAGCGAGGCGGCGATTTACGTCGATGGAGGCATGGGAGCTTCCCAAGCACCCCAGCGCCATTGCGCCAGAAGGCGTACGAACCAACCCGGACATGGACCCCGTGCCGGTGCCAATGCGGACTTGGTCGTTGTGGACTATCCTGGCGTACTGGAGTACCGACCTTATGAACCTCTCAACTCTACAGACCGCCGGATCTATACTTGCTGTCGGACTCAGCTGGCGAGAGGCGATTCCCATCATGTTCGTCGGAACAACGTGTATCGCAATAGCAATGGTCCTCAATGGAGCCATAGGAAGTCGTCTACATGTCCCCTTCAGTGTCATTGCTACGGGTAGCTTTGGGTTCTACTTGAGGTATGTACTTTTGGTTGAAGTATATACTTGAGTGGTCATGTAGTATACTTAGCGCTTGGAATAGAAGCTGACTTTCATCACAGATACTTTGCCATTGTCAGCAGAGCCATCCTTGCTATGTTCTGGCTGGGTGTACAGGTATCGACTCGTACGCATCACTTCAACTGACTCCAATGCTAACATCAGTCTTCAATGATAGTGCGTCAACGGGAGTGTATGTGTGACGATCATGCTGAGTGCGTGGGCTCCCTCTTACGGACGGATTCCGAATGCCCTACCTGAATCGGCGGGCATCACCTCCATGGGAATGTGCTCGTGAGTCTGTTCATGAAGGCAATGGTTGTATATCAGAGTACTGACAAGTGACACAGATTCTTCCTCTTCTGGATCATTCAACTGCCGTTGTTACTCATTCACCCCACTAAACTTCGACCGCTCTTCTACGTCAAGTTACTTGCTACTCCAGCTGTGGTTTTAGGGACCTTGGGATGGGCTGTCAAACAGGCCGGTGGCGGGGGTGATATCTTCAGGTTGCAACCTGAGTTCTCTCCAGGGACTTCCAAGTATGCCTGGCTTTGGCTGAGCTGCATGTCGTCGGTCTCGGGACAGTGGAGCACGATGGCAATCAATATTCCGGACTTCTTGCGCTATAGCAAGTCCAGGAACGCTCAAAACGTCCAGCTCATATTTGTCCCTATCGTTTTCACCTTGTGTGGAACCATGGGTATTATTACCACTTCGGCCACGAAAGTCTTCCAGGGAGACGGTGATTACCTTTGGAACCCGCTCGATATAGTCAGTCTTTGGTTGGGAAATGGCTCAGGAGGACGCTGTGCTGCCTTCTTCGGGGCTCTGGCTTGGCTTATTGCAACGATCGGCACCAACGTCACGGCAAACAGCATCAGCGCAGCCAACGATCTGACTGTCATGTTCCCGCGCTACATCAACATTAGAAGGGGCAGTATAGTCGCTGCTGTGATAGGTGCCTGGGTTATTGTCCCGTGGAAGATTCTTGCCAGCGCCGCTACGTTCTTGAACTTCATGGGGGCATACGCTGTCTTCCTCGCTCCCCTGAGTGGTATCATGGCTGCTGACTTCTGGCTCGTTAAAAAACAACGATACGATCTGCCCGGTATGTCCAGTGACGATTCCTTATCTTGACCACCTTATACTAACACCCCGTTTTCTTTCTAGACTTATACGACCCTCATGGTCGCTATAGATACATCGCAGGCTGTAACTGGAGGGCATTTGTTGCTTTCATTGTGCCTGTTGCCCCCAACTTGCCCGGGATGGCTTTGGCAATCAGTGGCTACCCTGCTGTCCAGATCTCCGAGGGTGCTCAGAATCTCTACAGCTTTGATTGGCTTTTTGGATTCGTCGTCTCGATATTCCTGTATACCACACTGAGCCGGGTTGTACCTGCAAAGGAGACCTTGGTTGAGCAGACAATCTTGACCAGGGGAGACGGAATCGAGATTGAGGGAACGCGAGACGGTAGTGACATCGAGAACCCAAAGGTGCCCGAGAAGGTGTTGACCACAGCGGGAGATGGTCGTCACACTCCTGAATCGAGAGGCCTTAACGGAGGAACTGGGTGAATTCAAGAATGGAACCTGAAGGTGGTGCCGACCCGGAGCAATGTACTTGATTGACTGATTTCCCTAATCTCGGCTACTACGACCGTAACAACATCCCACATATCCACTTGCTTTGCTGAGGTCAGAAAGAAATCGATCAATAGAGCACATGAAGCCTACGCCTGTAAAGCGAGTAGAAAACCTCGCAATCAGGAAGGATGCGGGAGTCGGAGGAGCATGTGAGACATGGGGTCAATTATTTTTACTCATTTTATTAGTCGTGTACGTTGCTGTGGTATCTTGGCTAGCAGTATAGAATGCACTGCTCTCTCATCATAGTCTCCTGTTATCATTACTCCATGCCCATAGGAAAGAAATCTCATGGCTCCTGCTCGACAATATTATTCAAGCGCGGCTGCAGCTGTGCAAGTGCGGAGCGATCGTGCCCGTCGGGATAGGCACGGAAAACCTCTCCTCGCATCAACCTACGTGGTGCTCGTCTGCCTGTAAACAACTCAAACTGAGCGAAACCCTGCTCGGGCAACAGATCAAGACCGTCCATAGTAACCCAACCTCGGTGCGACACTTTTCTCGCTTGGTTCAAGATCGGTGTATCCAGTGTCTTGTAGCCCAGCTCAACCAGACAACCGCCAGTTGGACTTCCCAGCCATGCCTGTGGCGCCTCGAAGTTGGGTGCAGGGACATCGCCAATGCTATGCGTCGGGATGCAAGAAACAATCATTGTCGGCAGTCGGAAGTCTTCGGGCCATGGCTCATCCAGATTTCGGATAATGTGAAATTTCGTTTCCACGTCCGAAGTTGCGCTGAGGAGCGGTAGGTCGTGCCGTTTCAACAGGCGCGCGAAGTGATTAACCATCTTTTCCGCATTAGTAATTGTCCGGTTGTAGACCACAATATTCTTGACTCCTAGCTGCAGCATGCTGTAGGTAGCCGCGCGAGCCATGCCACCAGCTCCGATGATGAGACCGCAGCTCGACGTTCGTACAGCATTGGCGGGAGAGAGCCCTCTGCGAATGCAAGCCCGAATGCCGATCCAGTCCGTGTTTTCTCCGTAGAGAGCCCTGACCGGACCGGCGCGATTACGGCAGTTGAAGAGCTTCTCGTCCTCTGGAATAGTGCCGTCGGGATTTAGTCGACGAACAGGAACAAGTGTGTTGACTGCACCTATCGCCTGCGCGTGTCGGCTAAGAGAGTGTGTGAGGGTGATGATTTCGACTTTGAAGGGCAAGCCAACACTGGCACCCGCGAAGTAAGGATCCTCAATGAGCTCTCGCAGCCCGTTCAGGGAAGGCGTCGAGAATGGTCGGTAGAGGTGCGGAATGCCGCAAGCCTTCAGAGCGGCATTGTGCATGGCTGGTGACAAACTGTAAGAGACGTGGGCACCAAAGACGTAGATCTTCATAGGGTCGAACAGGAACGAGTTGTAGAGTGCCTGCGTCGCTTGAGCTGCTGTCAAGCATGGCTGATTAGGGTTGTAAGTCGATGATACGGGCTTCTCTGGCACAACACTGGTCAGGACGTGGTTCATAGCCGCTGAGTGTCTCCCACGAGGTCCAGAGTTGTAAGCGATGAGGGGAATCTTGTGGCCGGTAGAAGCCTCAACAAGAGCCTTGAGGTGGCTGATATCAAAATTATCCTTAATGGAGGTCACTGGCTTGACAAGCCGGACCAGATCACATCCTAGACGCCGTGCTCTATGATACTGTGACATCCAGAAAGGGTCTGACCATGGTGGGGAGTCGGCCGCAGGTGTTAAATGTCCAATTATCTTTGAGCGCCTCTTCATAGAGATGATGTGCAATAGTTGAAAGTCGTTGAGGCGGAGATCGACAGTGAGGTATTCAGGGCAGAGTCGCAGGCCGTGTAGTATGTAGTCGGTGTACACTGACTCTGAAGAATCTGGAAGAACAACGTGGTACATTAACGGTATCACGGTGCTCCTCCTTATGGACCCTATGATTCTGGCAATGTCGGCGGCTCGTTCGGAGTCTAGTGACTGCGCACCAGCGATTCCGTCGAGGAC